GTTCACAAAGAAGACTTTAAAGAACAACAAAGGTGCTGTGCTCACAGGTAGTTTGAAGCACTTACTCTGTAAGGTTGTTGAAATCTGTAACAACCCTCCTGGTATTGCTTTTTCTTCCTGCTCATCTATGAAAACTCTTTGCATTCTTAGTGATGATTGGCTTAATATTTACAGGTACGGTCTGTGATAAGTGACTTTGCCGTCTTTCTCACCATCCTATCAATGGTGATAGTTGACTATTTCCTTGGCATCCCATCACCAAAACTTCAGGTTCCAAATGTTTTTAAGGTAATTGCTTATCAAGTTATGCTAGACCTCACAAAAATCTGGCATTTGTTACAACCAATACATCTTATAGCTATTTCATGCCGAACTTGATTGTAAAATCAGGAATAGGAAGTTTGTATAGCACATTTTTAATGGAGGAATTTAAGAATAAACTCAAAGGATAAATGAAGCTCAGGTTGCTTTACTTAACTAAGCTTAATAAGGACTTCCTTGCTCTGCTCCAGTATCCATGTTAAATCCCTAAAGACCTTGCAATATTAACAGCAGAATCCTGTATAGATTTTTTAAATATGTTCCTTAACACAGAGGTCCCCAACCTTTAGGGCACCAGGAACTGGTTCCGTGGAGAGAGGTTTTTCCGTGGATTGGAGGGGGCGTGATTTTGTGTGCTGCCTGCATCCCACAGATGGGGCTTCGCTTGTTTGTGCGGACCAGTTGCTGGCATGCCGTGGCCCACAGACCAGGGATTGGGGACCCCTGCCTTAACACTTTTTTATATTTTAAGAACAAGCACTGTGCCCATTTGAAATTTGCAGGGATTATTTTTTTTAAATTCTGAACCATTACCAGTGCTATTATAATGGTCTGAACCTAATGTAAAACATTTTGGTTTTATAACATATAGCACATTTTGCCCTTTTTTACAGGGCAAATGATGTTTTGATTTAATAAGTTTCAACCGTCTGACGTGTGCTTGAATTCTTTTAGCCTACCAGGGATGACCGTGGCTGGTTTGTCTCACCCTTGGGTCCCAATCCTTGGTGGACTATCCTAGCTGCTCTAATGCCGGCTCTTCTTTGTACCATTCTGATATTTATGGACCAACAAATTACAGCTGTTATTATAAACAGAAAAGAACATAAGCTAAAGGTAGGAAAGTAACTCCACTGAAGTTATTTTAACCTTTTATTTTATAATTCCAGGCTTTCTGCATATTTTTAAATGTAAATTATCTACTTGACAGCATTTAAAAACAAGTATTTTGTATCTTTCACTGCAGATTATCGGTAGAGAGAAGAATATATTTATTGATGCAAAAGAGGGTTAATGCATGTCAGAAATGGTGATGTTTTTTTTTGTTAGCATGAGTAGGCAAACCTGCTCCAGCATAGATGCTATTCCATAAATATTATCTGGTGGAGCATTTATGCAAAAGTTCTATACATCAGGTATGAAGATGTAATTTGAAATTAGTTCCAACACACTTAGTGGACTCTGACATTGTTCTGAATTGCATTATAGACCAGAATATGAAGAAATAAATAGCAGTGATCCTGTAAAACAATCTTATCAAAATTAATGTCTCCTGAATCATTTGGGTTACAATTTCTGTCATCAATAGTCTAACTTGGCTAGCATCTAGAGCAGGGCTTTTCAACCAGTGGTACGGGTACCATCTGTGGTACATTGGCACCTGACAGGTGGTACGCGACCATCCTAGAAAAGTAGTAGCGGGGAATGAGCTGAACCGGTGGCAGCACCGCACAAGCCTGAGCGAGAGACGGCTGGAGTTGCAAGGCTGTTAGGGCTCAGTGGAAGCGCCAGGATCAGTGCCGCTTTCCAGCTGATTGGCGCTTCTTCAGGGCTGTCAGGGCTCAGTGGAAGCGCCAGGATCAGTGCCGCTTTCCAGCTGATTGGCGCTTCTTCAGGGCTGTCAGGGCTCAGTGGAAGCGCCAGGATCAGTGCCGCTTTCCAGCTGATTGGCGCTTCTTCAGGGCTGTCAGGGCTCAGTGGAAGCGCCAGGATCAGTGCCGCTTTCCAGCTGATTGGTGCTTCTTCGGGGCTGTCAGGGCTCAGTGGAAGCGCCAGGATCAGCGCCAGGATCCAGCTGGAGCTTGGCGCTGATCCTGGTGCTTCTGCTGAGCCCTGAAGAAGCACCAATCAGCTGGAAAGCAGCACTGATCCTGATGCTTCTGCTGAGCCCGGAAGAAGCATCGATCAGCTGGAATGTTGCAGCATCTCCAGGGTCTTGTGATTTACATTCAGATGCTTGGCAACTGATTCATATTTATGACGGTCACAGTGTCCCAGGTCATGTGAAGTGACCAAAACCTGCTGCAACCACCCAGCAGATGGGGGAATAAAAACCAAACACCCCCACCCCACCCCCGCTGCCAATCCTCAACAGAAATGCTCACAACAATGAAAACCTTGGACAGGAGGAAGAGCGCCGGCGGGCACTGTCTTGCTCAGCTGTGGCTTGGGGGGCACTTTTTTCAGTGCCATTGTAACTTCGAACAGTCACTAAGCGAACTGTTATAAGTTGAGGACTACCTGTACTTTATCACTTTTTTCCTTTTTTTTTTTTTTGGTCATCAAGTTTTTGACACCTTGCTAGGCAACTGGTGGTACTCGGATGTTGCCATATCCTAAAAGTGGTACAATGGGTGAAAAGGTTGAAAAGCCCTGATCTAGAGAGTTGAAGGTTCTAATCTAAGGTTATTAGATTAGGAGAAATGGGAATAAAATAACATCCTTGAAATAGTACAATCTATCAAGCATTGGGCTGTGGTTTCTCACCTGGACAAATAATATATAGAAGGAACTGAAGATACATCTGTTCTTATGTATGATTATGAATCTTTCCCATCCGATGCCTTCCAGATGTATGGGACGACTATAGCTCTCAGAATCCCATCTAGGACAGAAGATATTAGATTGAGAAAAGTTGATATACTATAAGAGGAAAAAATAGGAGAAACTTTAATACAATTTCATGTACTTTTCGCTTACTGGCATATAAACATTTATTCAGTGCAACTGTTGGTTCATATACTATCTGAGTAGATGTTGCCTCCTATCCTTCTAGCTTTGTCAGTTGTCTCCTCTGTTTTAACAGAAAGGCTGTGGCTATCACTTGGACTTGCTGATGGTGGCCCTCATGCTTGGCGTGTGTTCGATCATGGGCCTGCCTTGGTTTGTGGCTGCCACTGTTCTGTCCATCTCTCACGTGAACAGCTTAAAGTTGGAATCTGAGTGTTCAGCTCCAGGAGAGCAGCCTAAATTTCTTGGCATTCGCGAGCAACGGGTCACTGGGCTCATGATATTTATCCTTATGGGCTGCTCAGTTTTTTTAACCAGAGTGCTTAAAGTAAGTATACACTTCGTAAAACCAAACTAAAAGTGAATTGCACTTTACGTACATCTGATGTCAGTTTGGAACACATGGGTTCTTATTTTAAAACAAACAAATGATACTTTTGTGATGCACTTTTTTGCCCATTTCACAATAAAGCATATGCTTTGGATCTGGAAGTCCATGGGTTCAAATGCTGGGTATTTCCATTTTAAACAAAGGATTTTAGGTTGCAGAGTATTAGAAAGATAGCTGGATGAGATCCTGGAGAACTGCTGTCCATCCAGATAAACTTGAGCTTCATAGATTTGACTAGAAAGATATTATCATATCTTTATAATACTAATTCAATATGAGTAATACCCATTCAGTAATAATTTGAATAATTCTAGTAATGGTAACTCAAGTTCCCTGTGCCATATAGAATCTTTAACATTTCAATAACGATGTATAAATTGTCATTTCATTTAATACATTCATAAAAGATATGGCCAAATTCAGAGGGTTGTTAAGATAAGCTCTTTTTTTCTCTTCTAACATCTGACCAGCAGCTCATTTTAAAAAATCTATTCTATTTGAGTTGAAAGACCCTGCTGGGCATAATAGAATTTCAAGAGAAATTTTTCCTTTTGTGAATAAAGCTGAATTTGAAGCAAGATGAAGTCAAACATTTTGGAAAAAACATTTTATGTAATGTATGTATGTATGTATGTATGTATGTATGTATGTATGTATGTATGTATGTATTTACATTTATAAGCTGCCCAACTCCATGGCTGGGCTCACATAGTATTTTAACTGTGGTTTATTGAGCAAATTATAGTGACCTGCTAAAGTCACAAATTGTAATCCACAATTTCATGCACTAACTTAAGCCAAAACCCAATACAATATAGTTCAGCATATGAACCCTGCAAGCTGAGGTTACAGCAATGAAACATCATCTATAAAGATAGACATTGTCACCTTTTGTCTGCTCTTCTGCGAGATCTCGATAGAAAAGTACAGTATAAATAAATAAATTGCCCAAGTTCTTCATTTTTTCATGCCTCCTGTCACTACCAATTTACTGAGACGATATACATTTTCCTTCTACTCTTTGCAGTTTATTCCCATGCCAGTACTTTATGGTGTATTTCTTTACATGGGTGCCTCTTCTCTCAAAGGAATTCAGGTAAAGTGGAGGATGTGAAATATTTATGTTCCTGTCTCTTTTGTTGCCATGATCAACACAACCAAGTTATTATTGCTTGCTATGCATTATTAAATTGGACACAAATGTGAAAAAAGCGCAACCTACATAAAAAGAGGCGATTAAACTTCAGCATTGGTAGCAAAACTCTGAATCATATCTCTAGACTGCCAGAATTATAGCTTGCATCTGACATATTACTGGGCCTATGATCCTGTTTCCTTTCCGACCCCTTTTCACCATGTGTTTCCTGCTTGGGAAACTTAGAGACACAATAGCTCAGGGGTAGGCAACCTTGAAAATGGCCACTTCCTCTCCCTCAGGCAAATAAGTCAATCTTCAACAGTCAGTGAGAAAAAAAAATATTTCTCTACGCCATCCCTGAGTTCCAGAAGTGGCTGGAATGGCTGCCGCCAAATTATTTTCAGTGGTGGGATTCAGATATGTGAACAACCAGTTCTCTGTATGGATGCCGCTTCCGGAAGTCCATTCTGGGCCCGGGCAACAAAAAATTAGCTATCGGTTCTGCCGAACTGGTGCGAACTGGCTGAATCCCACCACTGATTATTTTGCTACACTTGTTTGTACTCATGGATTTCAACTGTTTCCCCCAATTTAGGGCCCTTTGGATATATTGGATTTGAACTTTCCATTATCCACAGTGAAGAGTCAAAGGCCTTGTTAGCTGAAGAATGATGGTAGCTTAATTTTAACACATCTGAGAGGAAATGGTTTGTAGGAGGGCTGTTTTATGTAGGTTTTATTTGTTATTTAAAAATTCAGGTGTGTATCGAAAGAATGGAATTTAAATGCAGATCACAAGTAGATTATTTCTGAATTATTTCAATCTTACTCTGGTAAAGACATTCTCAGATATACTAGTACTTCTAAAAAAGTTTCTGAATTAGAGGCAAAACTAAGATTAATTCAGGAATCAAGAATCACAGAGATGGGGAAATCATGCAAAATCATAAGCAGTGGCAGACAATGGACAAGGCTTTGTGACAGTAGTTGCCTTGTTCTCCAAACATTACATTTGAACGTCTCTAAAGTAATGTCTTTCCCAAAATATAAACAATTAGTTTGTCCTTTGTTAGCTTTTTGACAGAATCAAGTTATTCTGGATGCCTGCCAAACACCAGCCAGACTTCATCTACCTAAGGCATGTCCCCCTTCGAAAAGTCCATCTCTTCACAGTAATCCAGCTGAGCTGTCTTGTGTTACTATGGGTTATTAAAGTTTCAAAAGCTGCCATTGTATTTCCAATGATGGTATGAATTCAATATTTCTATATTCATAAAAGATTCAGTGTTGTCTTTAAGGGACAGTAGTCGTTTTGAGCATGGATGTGATTATTACTGACTTCTTTTCCATAGTGAAAGGATAACATTTCTCATACCAACGTCATCCTATAACCGTGGTGGCGAACCTATGGCATGCAGAGCCCTTTCTGTTGGCACACACGCCAGAGGGATGCTCCCCTCCCTCTCTCCACGTGCGCCTGACTAGTGGGAACTGAAGAGGGCAGGGAAACCGAATCCAGCAGCACTCTCGCGGGAACAGCTGCGAGAGCTGGGCGGGGAGAGGGGAACCTATAAAAGGAGCAGGTTTTGGTGGGAGTGCAGTGAGAGAGCGAGTGAGTGAGCAGATGGCCTTTGGAAGTGACGGTGGGCATGAGTTTGGACAAGACAAGTAGGACGCGGCATCCGTTTGCGCTTTGCAGAAGGCTAGCGGGGGAAGGAGGACACGTGAGTTTGGACTTTGGAGAAAGGGAGAGGGGGGGAAGGAAGGAGGGGAGGAAGAAGGAAGGAAGGAAGGCTGCTGGGCAGATGTGCGGCCAGGCCTGCCCAGGTGACACTGAAGCCAGCCAGCCCTTCTGTGGCAGGGAGGGGGAGGGGGAGCAGCTACCCCCCAAACACCGCGCCTGTCTCTCTTTGGGCTCCCTCGGTGTCTCCCCCCCTCCAGGTTGGGGCTGGTCAGATTCCCCCCATGGGCAGCGCTGCACCTGCCACCAGCCCATCCCTGGCCAGCCCTCCTCCTTCTGCAGGCGGACTGCGGCTTACTGAGCCAGGTGGCACCTCTCCCCCATGCATCCTCAGGTGGAGGAGCTGGGCAGCTGCGGCTCTCGCTCCCCTTTGGCCTCCATCCGCCTGAGGCCTGAGCTCAGCATGCCCAGCTGGCCAGCGACGGGCTGGAGAGTGCCGGATGGTGGCAGCTGCCCCAGGATGAATGGTGGGCTGGGCTCTCCCAATGTCCGTGGGGAACAAGCGGCGAGGAGGCTCTGCACCCAGCCCAGCCCAGCCCTGGCATGGCATGGCACGGCAAGCGAGGCAGCAGCCTCACATGCGTCCCTATGAGTGAGTGTGCCCCCACCATGCCAGGCAAGTGGAACCGCGGCATCTGCAGCAGAAGAGTGCAGGTGGGCAGCAGAGGGCATGAGGAGCCCCGATCCCAGCACAGTCCCTCCCCACTCTCCTCCTCCCCCCTTGGAAGAGGTGTGGGGTTCAGGAGCCTCCACCTGCACCCCCCAACTCCCCCTGGTCCCCAGGGCATGCTGGCCATCTTTCTCCCCAAAGGAAGGAGATGAGCCACCTTGGCAGCAGCTGCTGGGCATTGGATGGGCATGGGGGGGAATTAGAATAACAGAGTTGGAAGGGTCATCTAATCCAGGGGTCCCCAACCCCTGGTCCATGGACTGTTACCAGGCTGCAACATGCCAGCAACCAGTCTGCGCAAACAAGCAAAGCCCCATCCATGGGATGCAGGCAGCACACAAAACCACACACCCTCTGGTCCACAGAAAAACCTCTCTCTGTGGAACCAGGCCCTGGTGCCCAAAAGGTTGGGGACCTCTGATTTTTCTAGTCCAGCTCCCCCCCACACACATACACACCGCTCAAGCACCATTTCTGACAGATGGCAGTCCAGGGAGGGGGGAGAGCAGGATTCTGGGCATCCAAGGAGGGGTGGTCTTAGGAGACACCACCCGCCCTGCAGGCCAAGGCTGGGTTGGAACACACACACACACACACACACACACACACACACACACACACACAATGACTCAAGAGGGGGGACCCCTCTGCCCAATGTTCTGCGATTAAGAGGCTCTGGCAAGTGTCGGGGGGAGTCAGAGGGGCAGTGAGCCCACCCAGATAGCCTCCAAGGACTGTTTGTATCATTGAAAGCTCTATTATTGTGTTTTTGGGAGGTGGAGTGAGTGAAGGATTTTTATTTTTTGCCTCGTTTTGCTCTTTTAAAGAGAACGCGCACCCAACACCCCCTTGCATAGCCAGAAGCCTTGCGCCATCACCATTTTCCTGCCACGCTCCCCCAGCCCCTCTCTCTCCCTTCCTTTGAAACAAACAACCCCCCCCCCCTGATCCTCCCGTTCCTGCCTTCTGAATTAAAACGAGAGAAAGCCAAGTTTTTTCTTTTGTGGTCTTTACATATTTAAACTGCAGCTAAAAGGAAGTGGGGAAGAAAACCATCGCGAGACACTCTTCTGTTTTAACTTTTTTTCCTTGTCGCTTTTTGGAGTTTTCATCCTGCTTTCATGAGACGGCAGCGTTTGGGAGGGGGGTGTAGCTGTCCCTTCCCCCCCCAAGACATCAGCTAAGCAAGACGCCCTCCTGCCCACTGCCCCACCCGTCAGAGACCCCCTGGATCTCCTCCAACCCTGCTCTGCCCCCACAGGCATCCCTTCCCAGGAGCACCACCCTGGCCACGCCCACCCCATCTGCCATGACCACCCTAGCCACGCCCACCCAGTGGGCCACGCCCATCCGGCACCCAGCGATACATAAGTGGCTTTTGGATTGCAGTTTGGGCACTTGGCCTCTAAAAGGTTCGCCATCACTGATCTATACTGTAACTCAGATAAATTACTTGCATGCTTATAGCAGTAAATTATTAGTGATGCTTGAGGGAATTTTGCAAAACAATTTTAGAACTGTAGACTTTGACTTTCTCCTTCTAAGAATAGATGTGTCATCTGTGCCTGTCAATAATCTTACCATAGTATAAATATTTGGATTAGGTCTTGGCATTGGTGTTTGTCAGAAAACTCATGGACTTCTTTTTCACCAAACGTGAGTTAAGCTGGCTGGATGATTTGATGCCTGAGAGCAAGAAAAAAAAACTTGAAGATGCTGAAAAAGAGGTATGCTTACAATATCTTTTCTGTCTTTGCCTCTTTGTTCTACAATATTATTGACTAAGCTTATTAAAATTCTATTTTGAAGCAGCAAATCTAACACACAACGATGCAGATAAAGGTGGCCAATTCACTAAGAGAGGATTTATTTGTGTGTCATTTTTTACATAAGTATGACCCCAAGACTTTTGGTTTGTTTGATAGAGCCTCTTGGTACATTTTTCATGCAAATAGGAAGTATATTTCCACATGGAGTAGCCAAAGCTCTGGTTTAAATATGAAGTACTGAATGAAATAATTACAGATACAATCCATCCAAACTTAAGTTATTTCTAGGAATCATTAAGATATCAATGTCTATGCTCAGTAATTATCTGAAATAGTGCAGGTTTGTGCATAAGAAATAGGAAAGTCGGCATGAGTTTTTTGGCTACAAAAATCCCTACGACTCTTCGATTGTTCCAACTCTTTGCTGCCATCTAATGCTTATCCAGAATTCTGCAGCTTGGAAAAGGAATACAAAGATTTATCAATATGTATTTGCCTGCTCTTAGATTTCTTTTACCCAACTTTTCTTTAGAGAAATAATTGAATCATACACCCGTGTCCAGCTGAAGTGATATGTTCTGTCTCTTACAATGAGAAGTGTCAAATGTAGACAAGATATTTCTTTGGCTTGAACAGAGATGCATTCTTTTTGGTCTGATTTGCTTTCTATGTTGCACTTTCTTTTTAGAAATATGAATGGTGGCAGAAAGCAAAATAGAAATAAGCATTTTTTTTCTTTTCAATTGCTATATTTTTTGAGCCCCTATTTTTACATGTTATGGCATTACTAAATATTTGAGGCTATTATTAAACCTGTTCAGCTGTCAAAATCCTGGGAAGCTGTGAAGCTCAGAAATGACAAAATTAACTAGAAATAAAAATTTTGACATGGAGCCTCTGGAATTTAATTGGAAAGACACCATTATGCTGGCTTTAAAAATAGAAATCTGTTCTCCATACAGATAGAAATGAAGTTGACAAGATGTTTTTAAAAGTCTGATTTGACTGGATCAAGATTTTCATTTTGTGGCTTAATCTTCAATATAACATTAAATTTCCATTAATAGTAACCATTAAGCATCAAGGTGGGAAACAATATTTATTCTCAGTCACTTATTTTGTCATGGATTAATGTGACATTCCTAATTGAAATTAAGTTTGATGCACACATGCATCCAAAAAAGAGGAAATCCTGTTATTTCAACAGTTCCTCATCATAATGGGTTAGTGGTTAGTTTTATTTAATTCCCATTGACGTAAGTGGGACACTTACTAACTTGTATTGTTCATGTTGATGTGGTCATTTAAATGCATTTGTTCCATTTTTTGTTCCAAATTCTCTCTCTGCCCACACAATATTCAGGTCACCATTACTTGGAAAGGGGTATTTAGAACATGGAGTAAAAATAGATTTGTTGTTACGAATCTGTATGGCCATTTTTATACCTTGGCCACATTTAAACGCTGGTTTCTGATGTTGCCTTTCCCCACAATTCTATGTTTATAAATAAACTTGTTTTTTTTAAAAGGTAAATGCAATTTTAGGTTGCATCTACAGAAGTAACATTTCCAAATCATGGGGAATAATAGTTGACAAACTGAGAGTATCACTGTAGTATTTCTTTTATCAATTATGACTCTTGAGCTAATAATACCTCTACTGGATACTTGTCCAGCAGATTGAGAAAAAAAGCCTAAAAATTATCAAAAAAAATCTGTTCTTTGAATGGAAACATCTAGCAAAGGTACAAAATTTTATTTGAGTGCAATTGCTATTAAGGTTACCTGTTGCCCTCTCTTCACTTAAGGGTATAAGACTAATGCCAGATGACTGAGTTTCAAGGTTGAATTGTAGAGTCGTTGGTACTCTCTTGCTTGCAGACTGATGATGTTACTTAATTTGATCATGAAATGTCTGCAAAAAAACAACCAAGCACCAAGGACTCCATAACTGGTTTAAGCTTTCCGCCAATGGGCAAAACCAGGGCAAGGGAATCAGTATTGTTTGGCTGAGCTGAATTGCTTGACAGAGGAGAAGAAGAATGCCATGAAATGAAAGAAGATACAGAATGTTCCCAAAATGAAATTGTGCTATTCTACTGAAATGAATAGAAATTACACACAATGCAAGAGAGAAGTACTGCAAATATCTACAGTATCTTCTCTCTATATCATCTGTCTGTCTGTCTGTCTATATCTATCATCTGCCTGCCTGCCTGCCTGCCTATCTATCTATCTATCTATCTATCTATCTATCTATCTATCTATCTATCTATCTATCTATCTATCTATCTATCTATC